TCAGACAAACGTCATGTGTACAATAATCCCAATCAGAAATGGTTTCCAACATACCACACATGAGAGTCGATCTGGTGATATGTCTGTGATGTTTGGGTGCTGGTCCTTCAATGACAAGATATGTAAATCAGTATATTATAAAACAAACAAATCAATGATGTGTAGTTTTGTAGTTTTCTTACCTCTATCTTGGGCTCCGTCATCAGGTTGTCTACCTCGGCAATAATGTGATTCAGCAGCACTGTGTCATTGCAGTGTAATTGTACTGCGGAGACCATTGCGGCCATCATCAGTGCAAGACCTGTAATGTTCTTCATGTCTTTGAAAGAGACCGTGAGACAGCGCTGGTAGGTTGAGCAGAGAGGTTGAATACCCTACACACTCTAATTTGCCACGTTATATTGACATCCTGACACTCTGAAACCACAGTATACAGACATGTCAGAGGAAGAAGACACCAAATAAGGACCAAAGGATGATTTGTATCTGTTTTACTATGTTCCACGGGGTGCAAGGCGTTATTACGAAGCAATCACCTGCTAATCCCTTATCAGCAAAACTCCCACCAAGAATTGCTTGTCATCACCTTGTCTTAACATTTTATGAAGGTTTTTCCTAATGTCTAAGGGTGGAATATCATTTCAACTTGCATATTCACGTTGTATCAAGTGTATTTTAGTAATGGCTGTTTGAATTTGACATCCTGCTGTGAAACAGAGATGCTTACAGACCTTTTTCACACTGGACATTTTGACTTGTTGCAACAGAAAAGCACAGGTGGAAGTGATGTAATGGATGATGACCCGCTTTATTTTAAGCGTTGACAGTGAGCCAGCAGGCAGACATTGTTAATGCCAGTAATATTGTTAGGTACACTTGCGCTTTTTCTATAATGACAAGTCAAAATGACTGCGGGAAGTAAGAACATAGGAAATATTTTGCGTCAAGCTTCTTGCCCACACATTAGAAAAAGGAAACTGTGACTGACAGACACAATTCCAGCCTTGCTTCAGTTTCCTCTCTACTCTCATTCTTATAATACAGAGATTTATGTTGTTATTATTGAAATAAAATGAACAAAAAAGCTATATCTTCAGTCGAAATAATGTTACTTAAAATAATTTCAGTAAAATATTACTGGTGATGGCTGCCAGCAATCATACCAATCATTTGAAAGACAGAGCAGTTGAGGAGTACTTAATTGAAATTGCAACATATGTCATTCGACAAGTTCTAAAACTAATAGTTGACAAGATTGCAGAGTAGAGGAGAGCCTGAAGATCACACTTAAACTAACACAATCACATCTCCACATTTTACATACACTGATAACCTTTGTAGAGGAGCCCCATCTTCAGGTGACATTTGTAACTTTTCACAATGAAACCAGAGCAGGTTGTCTTTAGAGGGACCCAAGCCACAGAAAAGTCAGGAATGCTCCAAATAATCATGCTATTTAATTTTTGCCCTGTCATGTTTCAGCTGCCATGAGATGTTAGCTGTCCCACTAAAAGAGACATGCCCCTTCTACACTCTCTGTTTTCAGTTAAATAACTGTTTGAGGCACAAAGATTTTAAATGATCCTGCATTTCACAGAGAAAGCAAAGGCCGAGGAAACTTTTCTTCCCCTCTTACTCCATTAATCATCTCATGACATATCAGATTGTGTGACCCTTTGGAAGAAGCCCAATCACCTAGTTGGGAATCACTGGCCCACACTGCTCTACGAAAAGTAGTTGAAAATAACTCAAAAGTATAAGCATCAAAATATACTAGAAGTACTAAAAACAAAATGAAAGTACTCATTATGCAGAATGGTACATTTCAGAGAAAATTTACATTATTATATTATACTGACGATCATACTCTGCTGGGTTGCAGTCAAGTCTTACCTTTATCCATAATAATACATTATAATGTATTTGTTAATTTTATTTTGTAGTATCAATCAGAATCTGCAATGTAACTAGTAATAAATGTATCATATAAACATATTGGAGTGAAATGTACAATATTTGTCTTTGAAATACAGTGGAGTAGAAGTATACAGTATAGCGGAAAATGTAAAAACTCAAGTAAAGTACAAGTACCTCAAATTTGTACAGCACTTGAATTAATGTACTTAGATATTTTCAACCACTGCTGCGTACACACTGATAAATCAGTAATACCAATCTAATGATCACATATTAAGGCCTATTTTGTTGTGTTCCTACTTTTCCTTCCGTAAATGATTTGAATACTTCTTCAAACCTCGGGTTATTTATGATTTATGATTAACCCTAACCCTAACCCTAACCCCTAACCCTAACCCTAATCTATATTAATATTGCAACATCATATTGAGGAACTCTACTAAAGTGGTAACTGACCAACTATGCTTTAAGAAACACAAAATAGCTACGTTTTAATAATGTTTCTGAGCTTGGATAAGAGAAGGGTGATTCTGACAAATGCCTTTTCCTTCCCCAGGCCATTACTACACTTCATCAGGAAATATGATTAGAATCTTTCTAGATGCTATTTGGATTTTATCTAAAGATAGTTTTGGTAAACCACATGACGTCACTAAGTGTTGTCATGCTATTTGCGGTGATGTGGCTACATTTCATGTATTTGCTAAGACTGTGCGAAAAGCCCCTGAAGCTTCCACTCCTGTTACTCATATAAACCATCTTCCATGTGAAAAAAACTTGTAAAAAATAAATTAAAATGGCCTGAGAATGACCATTAGATAGATAGATAGATAGTTACTTTATTAATTCCGCAAGAGGAAATCTTTTCAATACAGCAGCAGTTATGGTACAGGTAAATAAAATAACAGCGTAAAAATATTAAATATCAAATGCAAATATCAAATGCACAATATATACAATAAGAATAACAGAGTACAAATATTAGATATAAAAATGCACAATATATACAATGAAATATATTAAATTAACTAACTAAACAGTGGTGCAAAGATTTAACCAAACAACAAACAAAAAACAGTGAAGCGGTGTTATAGTTATAAATGTCTGGTTTTAGATACAGTGCTACAATCCAAGTAAAGAATGAAGTTTAATTTTGAAATATTGCAACATGTAAATGTAAATGATTGGCTGGAATTTCGCAAAAACAAAACAGCGCGCCTTTTACTGTATCAACAAATGAACCCGGCCACCAGCGTTTTACTTCCCACAGAAAATCATTCCCTCGTCGGCTAAACGAATCAATAAGCTCCGGTGAGCGTGGACCAATCAGAGCAGGAGAGCGTCAGAGGCGGTCAGCCAATAGGCAAGCGTACAAGATTTAGGCTAGTGCGCCATTTTGCTGCGTCCACAGCCATCCGGCAAGATGGTCCCCTTGCTTTGTCTCAACCTGACCGGAGTTGTTTCGGTATTCTGAGGCTATTCCTGCTTCTGCACCATCATACATCTGCAAATTAGATTGAACTCGCCCCTTCTACCAAAAACGAAAGGTGTCTATACAAGTCAAGAAATGGCGACGGTGAAAAGCAGGTAGGAACACCGTTTAGCTTGTTTGTTTAGACGAAGTCAATTCTGCATTGATTACTGTAACTGCGAGCCGGGCCATTGGTGCCTATTGCTAGTTAGCAAGCTAGGCTAGCTGAGCTGTAGCTATTAGCTGCGCAGCCGGCAAGGATTAAATTCGTACACATGCGGACTCAGATGTGTAACGTTATATGTGGTACAGGATATTTGTTAAAGTAAACAACCATTTAAAGCGCAATTCTGTTTGTGTTGTAGCTGGCTACATGTCACAGTGCTACTTTGGATGCTTCTAGGTAACGTTACTACCAGGCTGCCGTTAGCGCGCTGGTTCGTGCCAGTGCATCACCAAAAAGGAGGCCTGCGCGTGCATTTTTCCGTTGCATGCACATGCATTTGGACGTTTTAATGCACTGTAGAGATTGCAATTTAACCAGGGCAGTGTGGGCCAGTGGAAATAAGTAGTTGCGAATTAACGGCGACCGCTTTAAACCTGCTAATGATAGCGAGCCTAAACTTGGCATTGATAGTCAGGAGTTCCTGTGTTGTCAAAACATGGAGGTTGAGGATAAAGAAGCAGCTCGGAGCTGTTGGATGCAGAAGGGTGCGCTGCTTGCAGTGACACTGGATTTTGGATACATTTCGGGCTGGTTGCTGCTGGCAGGACTGAGTGATGGCTCCACACAGCGGATAGCTAATATCTAATCAGCACATTATGATGATGCTAAAGGGCACAATAAACAGCGCTGCCTCTGTCTCCAAATACACGCGCGTAAACTCATGTAACGTAGGCGATGCGCATATTTAATTGTATGAATATGTAATCGGTTGAACGTCAATATTAACTGTATAAAGTAAAGTCTAGTATTTCCCCCCCCCCCAATAGACTAAAAACA